GACGGGTACCGGACGGTCGCCAAATCACGAGTCTAATCACGAAACTCGAGGCCAAATTTTGCCGAAAAAACTTGCCGAAAGTCGAATTTCACAAAAGTTGATGCTGCCGAACTCGGGGGTCCACTGTACTTGCAACATCTGCCACATTGATCCCCTATCCACTCTATCATATGCCTTTTCTAAATCCATAAATGCAATAAAAACTTCCCTACCTTTATCTAAATACTGTTCACATATATGCTTCAATGTAAGCACTTGATCTACACATCCCCTACCTACTCTAAAACCTCCTTGCTCATACAAGGCGGCATACCTCCCTGCCCATTGCTTTAAATCACTGCTTTTCCTTCTTCATCAATATTCAAAATGTTTCCTACATTTTCTCAATACATCCACCTCCCCATCTAACAACTCCCATCTTTTGCTTTTAACTTAAATCCATTTGTTCCCTAGGTTTTCACAGTACAGTAAATTGTGCACCTTTTTTTTTAAACGCCCTTTTATCTCATTATTTTGTAGTTTGGAGACTAGGAGGTGCAGAGTTACTAAAAGTATTATCCAAAGGGCTGAGGAGGGGTTGTTGAGGCAGTTTCATCTTTTTTAGAGGTGGGGTAGGGGTTATTCAAGGAAAGGATGGAGGGAGTGAGGGGTAAAGGTGGTTTTGTGTGCAAGGGGTCTGGATATACAGCAGGCATGTGTGAGCATGTTAGACAGGAAAGGAGACAAATGGTTTTTGGGACCTGATGTGCTGTTGGAGAGTAAACAAGGTAATATTCTGTGAAGAGATTCAGATAAACCAGTTAACTGGACTTGAGTTCTGGAGGTGGGGAGTACAGTGCCTGCACTCTAAAGGAAAGGTTAGGGATATTTGCTGTTTGGAGGGACATCTGAACTGTATGGAATTAAAATTGTAGCTGCACGCCTCCGGCAAGGAATATTGTGAATGATGGTGAAAGTATTTCTTTTTCGGGTCACCATGCTTTGGTGGGAGACGGCCAGCATGTTAAAAAAAAAAAAAACATTTATTTTGTTTTTCCTATCAGTTGCATACTTGCAGCTCTAATAAGATTTTCCTTCAATGTAAAAGTGTGATAAGTAATAATCAAGGAACTTAAGTAGTATGAAGTAGAGGTAGCCAGAACTTCATTTGTAAATATCATACTTCAAAATACCTCCCTCCACAACTGTAACCAACACTTGAATTCAGTCAGTGTAATTCTCACATGCATAATTAGTAAAGGTACCTGTAATAGTACCTGTACACGTATTAAAAGAAAGAAGAAATTACTGTCTGTAGCAAAAAACAAAACAGGTGTCACTGAGTGGTGACTCAATGACACCTGGAAGGAGCTGCAGTGAACTACATCTAACATCATGATCATTAGGTTCACTGGTAGTGTCCCGGCCCGGGTCTGTCCAGCTGGTGACCCGGCAGAAATGTCTAACAACATTAAGTAGTGAACACTATAAAAAATCGTTTGCGAATACAAACATACCAGCGATACATCTAAAGTACAGTACACAAACTGCACACAAATAATGTTAGAAACATACGAAGTGGCACACAAAAATTAAACATTACATAACATTACTATTAAATATAACATTACAACTGCATATACTACACTTAATTCTATTACATAAAATTATTTTATACTTAATTTTACATAAAAAATGTTGTATTAATGATGGTAGCATTACCGACAATTTTTTTTTTTTTTTCAACAAGTCGGCCGTCTCCCACCGAGGCAGGGTGACCCAAAAAAGAAAGAAAATCCCCAAAAAGAAAATACTTTCATCATCATTCAACACTTTCACCACACTCACACATTATCACTGCTTTTGCAGAGGTGCTCAGAATACAACAGCTTAGAAGCATATACGTATAAAGATACACAACATATCCCTCCAAACCGCCAATATTCCAAACCCCTCCTTTAAAGTGCAGGCATTGTACTTCCCATTTCCAGGACTCAAGTCCGACTATATGAACATAACCGGTTTCCCTGAATCTCTTCACTAAATATTACCCTGCTCACACTCCAACAGATCGTCAGGTCCCAAGTATCATTCGCCTCCATTCACTCCTATCTAACATGCTCATGCACGCTTGCTGGAAATCCAAGCCCCTAGCCCACAAAACCTCCTTTACCCCCTCTTTCCAACCCTTTCGAGGACGACCCCTACCCCTCCTTCCTTCCCCTATAGATTTATATGCTTTCCATGTCATTCTACTTTGATCCATTCTCTCTAAATGACCAAACCACCTCAACAACCCCTCTTCTGCCCTCTGACTAATGCTTTTAACTCCACACCTTCTCCTAATTTCCACACTCCGAATTTTCTGCATAATATTTACACCACACATTGCCCTTAGACAGGACATCTCCACTGCCTCCAACCATCTCCTCGCTGCTGCATTTACCACCCAAGCTTCACATCCATATAAGAGTGTTGGTACTACTATACTTTCATACATTCCCTTCTTTGCCTCCATAGATAACGCTTTTTGACTCCACATATACCTCAATGCACCACTCACCTTTTTTCCCTCATCAATTCTATGATTAACCTCATCCTTCATAAATCCATCCGACGACGCGTCAACTCCCAAGTATCTGAAAACATTCACTTCTTCCATACTCCTCCTCCCCAATTTGATATCCAATTTTTCTTTATCTAAATCATTTGATACCCTCATCACCTTACTCTTTTCTATCTTCACTTTCAACTTTCTACCTTTACACACATTCTCAAACTCATCCACTAACCTTTGCAATTTTTCTTTAGAATCTCCCATAAGCACAGTATCATCAGCAAAAAGTAACTGTGTCAATTCCCATTTTGAATTCGATTCCCCATAATTTAATCCCACCCCTCTCCCAAACACCCTACCATTTACTTCTTTTACAACCCCATCTATAAATATATTAAACAACCATGGTGACATTACACATCCTGTCTAAGACCTACTTTTACCGGGAAGTATTCTCCCTCTCTTCTACACACCCTAACCTGAGCCCCACTATCCTCATAAAAGCTCTTTACAGCATTTAGTAACTTACCACCTATTCCATATACTTGCAACATCTGCCACATTGCTCCTCTATCCACTCTATCATATGCCTTTTCTAAATCCATAAATGCAATAAAAACTTCCCTACCTTTATCTAAATACTGTTCACATATATGCTTCAATGTAAACATTTGATCTACACATCCCCTACCCACTCTGAAGCCTCCCTGCTCATCCACAATCCTACATTCTGTCTTACCTCTAATTCTTTCAATTATAACCCTACCGTATACTTTTCCTGGTATACTCAGTAAACTTATTCCTCTATAATTTTTACAATCTCTTTTGTCCCCTTTCCCTTTATATAAAGGGACTATACATGCTCTCCGCCAATCCCTAGGTACCTTCCCCTCTTTCATACATTTATTAAACAAAAGTACCAACCACTCCAACACTATATCCCCCCCTGCTTTTAACATTTCTGTCATGATCCCATCAGTTCCAGCTGCTTTACCCCCTTTCATTCTACGTAATGCCTCACATACCTCCACCACACTTACATTCTGCTCTTCTTCACTCCTAAAAGATGGTATACCTCCCTGGCCAGTGCATGAAATTACCGCCTCCCTTTCTTCCTCAACATTTAAAAGTTCCTCAAAATATTCTCTCCATCTACCTAATACCTCCCTCTCCCCATCTACTAACTCCCCTACTCTGTTTATAACTGACAAATCCATACTTTCCCTAGGCTTTCTTAACTTGTTTAACTCACTCCAAATTTTTTTCTTATTTTCATTAAAATTTCTTGACAGAGCCTCTCCCACTCTTTCATCTGCTCTCCTTTTGCACTCTCTCACCACTCTCTTCACCTTTCTTTTACTCTCCATATACTCTGCTCTTCTTATAACACTTCTGCTTTGTGAAAACCTCTCGTAAGCTACCTTTTTTCTCTTTTATCACACCCTTTACTTCATCATTCCACCAATCACTCCTCTTTCCTCCTGCCCCCACCCTCCTATAACCACAAACTTCTCGCCCACATTCTAATACTGCATTTTTAAAACTATTCCAACCCTCTTCAACCCCCCCACTACTCATCTTTGCACTAGCCCACCTTTCTGCCAATAGTCGCTTATATCTCACCCGAACTTCCTCCTCCCTTAGTTTATACACTTTCACCTCCCTCTTACTTGTTGTTGCCACCTTCCTCTTTTCCCATCTACCTCTTACTCTAACTGTAGCTACAACTAAATAATGATCCGATATATCAGTTGCCCCTCTAGAAACATGTACATCCTGGAGCCTACCCATCAACCTTTTATCCACCAATACATATGTTAAGTAAAAGAACACTAGTGCAATTAATGTGACATTTTACTGTGCCAACGTTTTGCTCTCCAGGAGCTTTATCAAGCCATTACAGCACTTAACATAAAAAATGTTGCTTAATTTTTTCATGTAAAATCAAATCTGATGTAATGTTGCTAAGGAGGACAATGGGGAAGAGAAGGGAAAATAAAAGAAAAGGGATGAGAGCAAATAGGAGAAAGAGGGCAGAGAGGGGAAGAATAAGGAAAACAAAGATGAGAGGGAAGGTGGGAGATCAAGAGTACACAAGAAACATTTACTAAATTAGTTGTTATAAGTGGAAACTGTTAAAAGAAACAAATTTAAGTGTACATGGGATACAACTGAAAACATGAACAAAAAGCTCAACTTATGATTAAGTATTAATTGGTTAAACATTGCATCTACAATCAATGTTAACTGCATAAGTTAACTGCATTACAATAATTCATTTTTTGCTGTAAAAATGAAATTTTCAACAACTGACTTATTTCTTTACCAAAGATATTAACTAAGCAACCAAGCATATAAAGGTAAAAAGTAACTACTTTAGATTTGGAAAAAGGATGTATATTAATAAGCTTGTTACACATACAATGAGGGAAAGGGTTTTCTACATAATTAATGAATTACTTACCTCAGTGTGATCCAACTTCCTCTTTCTGTTCTTCTGTTGTTTTTGCTGCAAGGCAGCTAACACTGATGGGCCTGTGATTGGGTCCTGAACCACGGCAGAGAATTGACCTCTTTAGTATCTCAACAGGGTATATACTGATCAGAGCAACAGACTAACTGATTTCAGTTTAACACAGGCATGCATTAATTTTGCTGCACACATAAAAAATATTGAAATTCCCATATGTAGGCTGTTTACACATAATTCAAGTTCTCCTACACTGTTACAGTAACAAATCCAAGACCATGGCAATTAAATACAGTATACAAAAAAAAGCAACATTATAACCAATAAATCCCACATGCATGCCAAGTATATACTGAATACTGATTCTCACTGGAGTCAATCCTGGAGAAGATGGACGTGAATTGGTGGTGCCAGTTAGTGTCTTTTTTGGTGTATTAAGACCAGTCGTAGCTGCAGATGCCAAATCTCGACGAGGATACTGAATCTTTCTTGTATCTAATCGATCTTCTTCAACCCACTCGTCCAGACGCTTATTATCTGATGTGAAATCACACCAGATGATTAATATACAGTACTGTAATATGTAAAAGCAAAATACTGCTGCCAAGCAAAATTTATACAATTTTTTTAAGATATGATTTTTAACCCCAAGTATCCAAATGAAATGAAGAACATTGAAATATCCAAAAAAACTGAAAAAAAAGCTATTATAAAATGATGACAAGAAAAAAGCAAAAGGACCAGACACGATAATACCATCAAATTTAAAAGAATATGCAGAACAAAGCTATCTACTATTTTCTTTTTTATCACACTGACCGTCTCCCGCTGAGGCAGGGTGACCCGAAAAAGAAACCCTTTCATCACTGTTCACTCCATCACTGACTTGCTAGACTGTGAATGCAGATTCTACAATCTTTTTAATTTAATTACAAGATAGTAAAATTGGCAGATAAATGGAAAATGACAAATGTTGTGCTGATATTTAAAGGTGACAGGAAAAAATGCATCTCAGTGGTAAACACTGTAAAAAATACTGGTAAAATCTTGGATAAAATTGATACAACATTTGAAGAGCAAAAACTTACCGACAATCAGTTTGCCAGTCAATCAGCAAATTCCTGTATATTAAATTAATTAAGCAACTACAGTGGAACCTCAAATTTCGAACTTAATCCATTCCAGGAGCTAGTTCTAAATTTGAAAAGTTTGAAAAGCAATGAAATATTTCCCAGAAGAAATAATGGAAATACAATTAATCCATTCCAGAAACCCAAAAATATTCACAAAAAAATACATTTTATAGATAGTATTACATTATAGCTTTACATACACACAACAAATATAGTGTACAATTATGTATTAATAAATTTAAATAAACATATAAAATAACATTTTTACTTACCTTTATTGAAGATTGGTGATGGCATCTGGAAGATAGGGAGGAGGAGAGAGGGAGTTGGGGTTAGTGTTTGGAAGGGGAATCCCCCTCCATAAAGACTTCAGGTATCTAAGCCCTCTCTGGGGCTACTTCCCTTCTCTGTCTTTTAATGCCACTAGGACCAGCTTGAGAGTCACTGGACCCCTGTCTCACAAAATAACTGTCTACAGTCCTCTGTTTCTGGTGCCTCTGTATTATTTCCTTCTTCACATCTATGGTGCTTCTCACTTTCTTTACCACAGGGGTACAACTAGCAAGTTTCTTTGGGCCCATGGTAGCTTATTTCACAGTCCCACAAGCACTAAACACAATGAATTAATCATAAAATGTTTGAATGAGAGCACAGGTTAGTGTTCATTCAAGCATCAATAAAGCCAGACTGAGCGGGCTGGCGGACAGGTCCAGTATCCAGCGGTTCGAAAATAGGGGCGAGTTCGATAATTGGGACAAAGTTGGTTAAAAAAAAAAACGGTTGATTTTTAAAAGTTCAATAAGCGAATGGTTCGAAATTTGAGGTTCCACTGTATAACAATCACAAATTATTCAAGAAATAAATGAATGGGGAGACTGGATTTATTTAAATTATGATTAAGTTTTCAACGGTTAACAATGAAGCAACTACTCTGAAAGCTACAAAACATATGAGAAATAAGAAGCAAGTTACTGACTGAGGTATTTTATTTGAAAGGAAAATGCAAACAGCGATGAAACACACACACACACAAAAAAAATGTCTTTAATGGCAAATGTCATCAGTGGGGTGCCACAAGGATCAGTGGTTGCAGTCATGATTCTAATTTTTATAAACAATTCAACAGAAGGAATAAAAAAGAGCTACAGCAGAATATTCCTGAAAACCAGCACTCCACATGAAATAGTGATATATGGACTGATAAGTTTGTGGAAGGTGTAGGTTGTTATACAAAATAGGTACTGTAATAATTATTTAATATAAACTTGGATTAATTCAGCAGTCCCTGATGGATAATACAATTAAATGTTGATAAAAAACATGTAGCAGGTAAACTCCAGGTTGGTAGACAGAAACCACCCAGGGAGGTACATGTACTACCATCCTGCCAAGTGAGTGTAAAACTGAAGCCTGTAATTGTTTTACACGATGGTAGGATTGCTGGTGTCTTTTTTTTTTTCTTGTCTCATACACATGCAAGATTTCAGGTACGTCTTGCTACTTCTACTTACACTTAGGTCACACTACACATACATGTACAAGCATATATATACACACACCCCTTTGGGTTTTTTTCTATTTTCTTTCTAGCTCTTGTTCTTGTTTATTTCCTCGTACCTCCATGGGGAAGTGGAACAGAATTCTTCCTCCATAAGCCATGCATGTTGTAAGAGGCGACTAAAATGCCGGGAGCAAGGGGCTAGTAACCCCTTCTCCTGTATATATTACTAATTGTAAAAGGAGAAACTTTTGTTTTTCCTTTTGGGCCACCTCGCCTCGGTGGGATACGGCCGGTGTGTTGAAAGAAAGAATATATATATACAGTGGACCCTCGACCAACGATATTAATCCATTCCAGAGAACTCATCGTTAGACAAAATTATTGTTAGTTGAATTAATTTTCCCCATAAGAAATAATGGAAATCAAATTAATCTGTTCAAGACACCCAAAAGTATGAAAAAAATATTTTTACCACATGAAATACAGTGGAACCACCCAGGGAAGTACTACCGTCCTGCCAGGTGACTGTGAAACAGAAACCTGTAACTGTTTTGCATGATGGTAGGATTGCTGGTTTCTTTTTCTGTCTCATAAACACGCTAGATAACAGGGATATCTTGCTACTCCTACTTACACTTTGGTCACACTTCACAGACACGCACATGCATATATACATACATACATCTAGGTTTTTCTCCCTTTTTCTAAATAGCTCTTGTTCTTCCTTATTTCTTCTATTGTCCATGGGGAAGTGGAAAAGAATCTTTCCTCCGTAAGCCATGCGTGTCGTATGAGGCAACTAAAATGCCGGGAGCAATGGGCTAGTAACCCCTTCTCCTGTAGACATTTACTAAAAAAGAGAAGAAGAAAAACTTTATAAAACTGGGATGCTTGAATGTGCGTGGATGTAGTGCGAATGACAAGAAACAGATGATTGCTGATGTTATGAATGAAAAGAAGTTGGATGTCCTGGCCCTAAGCGAAACAAAGCTGAAGGGGGTAGGGGAGTTTCGGTGGGGGGAAATAAATGGGATTAAAATCTGGAGTATCTGAGAGAGTTAGAGCAAAGGAAGGGGTAGCAGTAATGTTGAAGGATCAGTTATGGAAGGAGAAAAGAAAATATGAATGTGTAAATTCAAGAATTATGTGGATTAAAGTAAAGGTTGGCTGCGAAAAGTGGGTCATAATAAGCGTGTATGCACCTGGAGAAGAGAGGAATGTAGAGGAGAGAGAGAGATTTTGGGAGATGTTAAGTGAATGTATAGGAGCCTTTGAACCAAGTGAGAGAGTAATTGTGGTAGGGGATCTGAATGCTAAAGTAGGAGAAACTTTTAGAGAGGGTGTGGTAGGTAAGTTTGGGGTGCCAGGTGTAAATGATAATGGGAGCCCTTTGATTGAACTTTGTATAAAAAGGGTTTAGTTATAGGTAATACATATTTTAAGAAAAAGAGGATAAATAAGTATACAAGATATGATGTAGGGCGAAATGACAGTAGTTTGTTGGATTATGCATTGATAGATAAAGACTGTTGAGTAGACTTCAGGATGTACATGTTTATAGAGGGGCCACAGATATATCAGATCACTTTCTAGTTGTAGCTACACTCAGAGTAAAAGGTAGATGGGATACAAGGAGAATAGAAGCATCAGGGAAGAGAGAGGTGAAGGTTTATAAACTAAAAGAGGAGGCAGTTAGGGTAAGATATAAACAGCTATTGGAGGATAGATGGGCTAATGAGAGCATAGGAAATGGGGTCGAAGAGGTATGGGGTAGGTTTAAAAATGTAGTGTTAGAGTGTTCAGCAGACGTTTGTGGTTACAGGAAACTGGGTGCGGGAGGGAAGAGGAGCGATTGGTGGAATGATGATGTAAAAGAGTTATTAAATGGAGAGTTAGAGGTATTGGGAAGATGGAGGGAATATTTTGAGGAATTGTTAAATGTTGGTGGAGGAAGGGAAGCTGTGATTTCGTGTATAGGGCAAGGAGGAATAACATCTTGTAGGAGTGAGGAAGAGCCAGTTGTGAGTGTGGGGGAAGTTCGTGAGGCAGTAGGTAAAATGAAAGGGGGTAAGGCAGCCGGGATTGATGGGATAAAGATAGAAATGTTAAAAGCAGCTGGGGATATAGTTTTGGAGTGGTTGGAGCAATTACAGTGGACCCCCGCATACCGATTTTAATCCGTGGAAGAGGGCTCATTGGTATGCGAAATAATCGGTATGCGAATGAATTTTCCCCATAAGAAATAATGGAAATCAAATTAATCCGTGCAAGACACCCAAAAGCATGAAAAAAAAAATTTTACCACGTGAAATATACATTTTCCTACACACAAAGAGAAGGATACATGCACAATAGTAGAGTAGTACATGCACAGTATATATTGTGCATGTACTAGTCTACTAAATGAAGAATAAATGACACTTACCTTTATTGAAGATGCAGCAATGACTGATGAGACACTGTGTCCTGGGAGTGCCTTTTCCTCCTGAGTACTGTAGGTCCTGTTTGGTATTTTCTTCCAGAACATGCCTTATCACACTGTGTATGTCACTACGATTCTTAAATCTCTCAAACCAACCTTTGCTGGCTTTAAATTCACCAATATGACCACTAGTTCCAGGCATTTTTCCCTGTTCACCTGGGTGTTAGTCGACTGGTGTGGGTTGCATCCTGGGAGACAAGATTAAGGACCCCAATGGAAATAAGTTAGACAGTCTTCGATGACACTGACTTTTTTGGGTTATCCTGGGTGGCAAATCCTCTGGGGTTAATTGTTTCTTGGTATATTCTCAATAAGCCACACCAACAACAGTGCTACAGCAGCAGCAGATGATGCTACAGCAGCAGCAGACGATGCTACAGCAGCAGCAGACGATGCTACAGCAGCAGCAGCAGCAGACGAT